CCGGGTGTGGATGTCCCTTGACATCCTCATTTCCATTGCAAGTGAATGGACATGATGACGTCACGGGTCCTTGGAGCCCCGGAAAAGAGGCTGCGGGGACCGATTTAGCAGCCAGGTGGCCCGTGGATCAGCTGAGTATATCTTTTTTTATTTTAGACTCTAGACCAAAAACGAGCACTAGTGAGGCAAGCCCTGCACTGCAAAGTTACATTTTTAATATGCCCGGAGTTCTTCTTGAGGCATGTTCCTTGTCCCATTCATACTGAGCAGCCTCATTGGCACCTAGTGCAGTCCCTCCCTCACCAGCCAGAGAGGGTATTAAAGTAGCTAATATAAAAACAGATCCAGGTACTCGGGATAGCTTCAGTTATTACATTGAATACAAACCTACATTCATTGCTGGTTTTTTTTTTTTAATCTATCGTCCTTGAGTTCCGCTTTAAGGAAACAAGAAATAGGAGATTGTTTTTGGCTGCATGCATCGAGGCCTTAATTCGAGAACTTGCCGCGACCATCGAATGTGCAGAAATCGAATCCAATTTGCATGAGCGAAATCCTGATGGTCCAAATGTTCAGCGGTGGGAAGCAATAATTTTATATAATTTTTTTTGTAATCGAGAAACGATGCAATAATCGGTGGGAGATACTCAGGTTGGTGGTGGGAAGGAGGGGGAGGGGAGAGAGATATGGCTATGAGAAGATTAAAGAAGAACTCTGTGAGCTGTTAACAAGATTCATTTGAGAGAAGAGAAAAAAGAAACCCCCGTGCTCCGGATGTCCAGGTACATGAGTACAGGTTCCATTCTTGGCTTTTAATTGGACACTCTTCCTCCTCATTTTATAGCTGAGCAGGAACCAGGAAAAGGAAACTGAAGCTCCCATAAAGCCGTGGGCGCTTTCCCTGTCCTGCGCCTGCTGTCAGGATGATGGAAGGGTGAGCACAGATGCTATTCATCCGGCATTGGGTTATATGAAGAGCTGCTTTGGCATTGCAGCGGAGGGGAGTAAACCTGAATGTGGGTTATGTCTTGTTGGGTTTTAGCAGCTCCTCATTTTAATATAATTCTGTGTTTTAATGACCCGAAGTTTCTTTTTTGCTGATTTTGAGGCTACGGTGAAGATCCAAAACTGGCGCTTACTTTGCAGAGTTGTTCCCAGATTATCAAGGCACTTTGATGTTCCCCATACACCCAGCTACTCTGGTCACCATACGCCCCTCTGTATTTAAGTGACATTGGTGAACTAATAGTGAGGGACGGAAGGTGGGAGGAGCTTGGCAGCAATCATGGGTGTTTGTCGCCATTTTCATATAAGAGCAGCCCTTGTGGGGTGCCATCTGGCTTTCTCAGGGTGCCTCTCATTTTCTTAGCATCATGTGTTTTTCATGGTGCAGGCGGGCCGGTAAAAGGGGGCTTCTGATGTAAAGGGGGGACTTTGATGTGAAAGGGGTGGTTTTAATGTTAAAGCGGGGCACTTGATGTGACCGGTGGGATGTTAAAAGGGGGACTCTAATGTGAAAGGGCGGGCTCTGATTTAAAGATGGGATGGTGAAAGCGCTGACTCTTAATGTGTGAAGGGGGGGCTCTTGATGTAAAAGAGGGTGCTTCTTGTAAGGAAGATACTCTAATGTAAAAGGGGGAATCCCAAGTCATGTTTTCCCCCCCTCACACCTTTAAAATCCACCCATCCTCCTAGATCTGGTATGGATCTTGGAAGGGACCACACATCGTTTTTTAACACTGGGGTGTCTCGAGATTTCGCACACTTTTAAGGGGCGCCTCAACTGAAAATAGTTTGAGAAAATTCTGCTCCGGGCTACCAGCACATTCTACAGAACCTCAAGACTTGACTAGCAGGCACCTGAGGGTAGCGGCTTTGCAAAGCAAGCACCAGTTTTTTAAGGATCCACCCTTATAGACACAGGTCCACTTTAAAGGGTCCATCCACTCATTTATTGGTATTTATTCAGAATTTCCTGGTTGAGTCCAGTTACCGGCAACAGTAAATGAGAGATTTCACTACGTGTGTAGTCAGAATAAAGAATCTGCTTGCAATGGGTGAGTGCGGATTGTTACCTTTTACACCTTGCTGCTGTTCAGCTTTTAAAGAAGAACTCCGGGCATTTTAAAAATGAACCACCCTTACAGTGGGGCTACCCCCCGGCACTGCAAGTTTTAAGTGCTCGTTTTGGTCTAAGGTTTAAAATAAAAAAGATCTACTCATCCGATCCTCAGTCTCACCAGGCTGCTAGACGGTCCCCGCAACCTCTCTCCCCTGGGCTCCGGCGGTCTAAGCCCCACTGATGGCATCATGTCTAATACAAGTCCATTGACTTGCATAGGATGTGACGCAGCAGAGAGGATAAGAGGTGACCGGTCACAGCTGCTGGACCGAGGATCAGGTAAGTATACGTATCTTCTTTATTCTGGCCCCTAGACCAAAACGAGCACTTAACACTCGCTCTTCTTTAACAATAGTCCTATGACACGTGGCATGGGAGGAATACGTAGAGCAGGTTCTATGCAGCTTTTCTTTTCTTTTATTACTTGAAACTTTGCAAGTGGTTTTTCAAGTTCAACCAAAGAATAAAGAATTGAAAGCGTACGCGGTGTGGAATCTTTGTTTTGTTCTGTTACATGGGTCAGTTATAAGGGCTCGGTCACCTTGTGTGTGTTGTATGGGCGATGTGCATTCTAATGAAAGGTGCGTGGATTCATTATTTTTAGGCATTGGAGCCTAAAAAGCATTGTATTTGTTAATGGACGCAATGCTCTGTCCCCGGCAGACTCTTCCCCCAGCCCCAGGTGTGCAGGCTCGCAGTTAAACAATAATTCCACTTTCTCCACTGAATTTGGGAAAACGGCATTACCCCACCAATCTGCCCCCTCTCGCACCTCGCCTCCCCTGCTCTTACCCGTCAACGAATGCTACTTCCCCCCCCTGCAGCTGCTGGTATTTTACATTCCACTCGCAAATCGTGAGCACTCACTCGTCAGTCCCTCCTCCACACCAGAGCCCTCCCTTTCACATCAGAGTCCTACTTTCCCATCAAGAGCCCCCCCTTTCCATCAGAGCCTTCCCTTTCCCATCAGAGTCCCACCAGAGCCCCCCCTTTCACATCAGAGTCCTACTTCCCATCCAGAGTCCTCCCTTTCCATCAGAGCCCCCCCTTTCACATCAGAGTCCTACTTTCCCATAAAGAGCCCCCCCCTTTCCATCAGAGCCTTCCCTTTCCCATCGGAGTCCCACCTTCCCACCAGAGTCTCCCCTTTCAAATCAAAACCACCCCTTTTTAACATCCCACCTTCCCTTTAAGAGCTCCCTTCCTATCAGACCCTCCACTTTCTCATCAGAGCCACCCCTTTTTAACACCCCACCCTCACATCAAGAGTCCCACCGTACATATCAGGGTCCCATCTTCACATCAACCTGATCGTGCTGACCAATGGGAAGCACTTCTGACCGCGCTGACCAATGAGTGCTCGCCATTTGCAAGCAGAGTTTTTAAAATTCTGAGTTCAGGGCTATGCTGCTGTGTGTGGTGTATTCTCATACATCGGCAGCCACAGAGGAATGAACGTTCATGAACAGGTGAGGAGGGAGAAAGAGTGCAGATTGATGGAGGAAATTCCATTATCTCACATTCACCTAGGAAAGCGGAATTACGCTTTAAAGGATGAAAGTATCACTGCATACCTCTGTACTTTTTTAATTGCATTTCAATAAACTTTATTAACACCACTACATGGCTATTCTTGCATGATTATTGTAACGTGGTTTGACATTAATCAGGGTTTAATCATAGGGATGAGTCAGTCAGTATATTATCTGTATTGTTTGGTTTGTGCAAGTGGTCACAGTAACTTTAATCATTGCATTTTGGGTACTGGAGGAATGTATTTATATCGCCACCCTTCGTGACTCACTCATCTCTATGGATAAGCTCTGATTTAGGGTGAAACATGTCAGAGGAGGTCACGGCAGGCAGGAGTAATGATGCAAGAATAGCCAGGTCATGGTGTTAATAAAGTTTATTGAAACTGAGGAAAAAAAGTACAGTTATGTGCGGCTTTTGTTTATTCATGACTACAGGGAGGAGGGCCTGGTACCCACAGCCGGTGCCCACAAGGAAGTCGTCCAGTATGGGTATTGTATGGAATTGATTGGGTCTATGTAATGTGCTTTTTGATGGAAACTGCTTCGAAGATCCAGCAAGCAGGATGACTTTTCTAGTTCAATGCATGTGCAGATGTGAACAGGCCCTAGTAAATCTGAAAGAAATAAGGAGGCAGCCACTGACCTAGATAAAGCATGCAGCTGGTATTGTTGGATCTCTTGACCTGCACGCTTTTCAGAACCAAGCCCACTGGATCACTGTGCCAGTCAGGGGAATGGCATTGTCTTAATGCCTAACTCTGAACAATTTTTTTTAAATGTCCCCGGGCAGTGGTATAAAAAAAATTGCAATGCTCACCATCAATCTGAAGCTGCCCCCTGCAGTACCTCTTCTTTGCCTCAAGATGTCCTCAGTCTTCAGGTTGAGTGATGCTGGGCAAAGACTGAGGGCATCTTGTGGACTGTGCAGGGTGCCCCGCACTCCGTGGACTGATGCAGATGTGCCTCTGGTGTCATCATATAAAAATCGTTATTGGTGTCGTGATATCAAAATTGTAATACGCGTCATCCCAGACCATCTACTTCATGTAGGAGACTTAAGAGTCAGAGGACCCCGCGGGTCATGTGACCGTCCAGAAAACATCAGAAAAATGTAAATAACAAAATAAGGGGAAAATACTGACAGTGGGGGCCTCAAGGGGTAAAAAAAAAAAAAAAAGGGGCCATTTTAAAAAGAAAGTGAACCTATTTCACCATTAGGGTTTACATCAGGAGTAGGCAATCCTCGGCACCCCAGCTGTGGTGAAACTACAAATCCCAAGAGGCATTGCAAGCCTCTGGCATGACTCGCAGAGGCATAATTGGCTTTGTAGTTTCCCCACAGCTGGAGTGCTGAAGTCACCCTCCCTTGGTTTACATACACTTTTAAGTATGGTTGCTGTTAAAACTCAGCAAGCAAAGCAAAGCAAAACCTAAGAAAAAAAAAGTTTATTAGAAGGAGCAAAATATCTTTAATGCTATCTTGACACAGAAAAAAAAAAGCAAATGTAGTTTTCACAATATTGTTCAGCATTGAGTATTAGATCATGAGAGATCACAGTATGTGGCCTGCAGGATAAAAGGGATCCTCTCTTTGTTTTACACACACACACCTAATATTGAGTAGGTCCCCCTTTTCCTAAACCCATCAAGGCATGGACTCCACTAGACCTCTGAAAGTGTGCTGTGGTATCTGGCACCAAGCCGTCAGCAGCAGATCCTTTGGATCCTTGGATGGAGATCTGGAGAATTTGGAGGCCAAGCCAACACCTCAAACTCATTGTTTTGTTCCTCAAACCATGTTTGCAGTGTGGCAGGACGCATTATCCTGCTGAAAGAGGCCACTGCCATCATGGAATACTGTTTCCATGAAGGGGTGTACTTGGTCAGTAACATTGTCTTGGTAGGCGATACGTTTCTAAGTGACATCCACATGAAGGGCAGTACCCAAGGTTTCCCAGCAGAACATTGTCCAAAGCATCACACTGCCTCCTCCGTCTTGTCTCCTTCCCATAGTGCATCCTGGGTGCCATCTCTTTCCAAGGTAAGCCATACACACACTCGGCCATCCACATGATGTAAAAGAAAATGCGATTCATCAGACCAGGCCACCTTCTTCCATTGCTCCGTAGTCCAGTTCTGATGCTCACGTGCCCATTGTAGGCACTTTTGGAGGTGGACACGGGTCACCATTGGAATTCTGACCGGTCTACAGCCGCATACACAACAAACTGTGATTCTCTGTGTGCTCAGACACCTTTCTATCAGAACCAACATTAACTTTTTCAGCAATTTGGGCTCCATTAGCTCTTCTATTGGATTGGATTTTAATACATGGGCCGGCCTTCACTACCCACTTGCATCAATGAGCCTTGGCCACCCATGATTGTGACTGGTTTTCCTTCCTTGGACCTCTCAGTGGTCAGAATGTTATGGCTGATGGGTGTGTGTGTATATATGGGCATTTATGTTTCGAGAAAAGCAGCATATAGACCAGGGATAGGCAACATAGGCACTCAGCTGTGCTGAAACTATGGGACTTGTGGTTCCACAACAGCTGGAGGGCTGGAGTTGCCTACCCTTGATATAGACATAGGACCATTGGATGGATGGCTACACCCCTTTCAGCTGCTGATCTGCATGGAGAGATGCAATATGTCATATGTGGTCATGTGATCTTTCTTAAACTGCCGCTAGGTCCTATTTAGTCTCCTCCCTCATCCAGCGGTAGGCTAAAAATGCCAAATTCAGCTACAGTTGTCACATAATCATATAAGTATATATATGCCAAGCACCTCTATTAGCTTGATCTAACTCTAGGCTGCACCCAAAGAGAATCCAAATGTATTCCGGCTTCCTGGTATACAGAAAGGCGGAGCTTAAAGCACAATCCCAATAAAGCAGTTTAATGGAGTTGAAATGCACGTATGGAAAACTGTTTATCAATGTCATGACAAAGGATTTGTAATTCTGCTCAGTCCGTCTTGTGATCCTGATTGCACAGACTGATCCTCAACGTGAACTGCAGCAGAATCAGCCCACCTTGGTCAAGAACACACCCCCTTCCTCCTGATTGGATAGTGAAGGGGCAGTAGGAGACCGATGAGCCATCACTCCGCCATCTCCCCCTGTCAGCCTATGTGTGTGCACAGTAGTAGAACCGGACTGGCTCCTACCTCTGACCCTGCCAGTCTCAGTGGTACTGTACGGGGGAAGCTGATATCAAGACAGATTGAGGTGCTTGCACTAGCTGCCCCCAAAATAAATGTTTAATTGGTGCTGTATATGTGTCCGGGTGACTTAAGAGCTTTATACAGAAAAAGGAAAATGTCTTGTTGCCCAAAGCGACCAATCAGGATCTTTGTTTCCTGTTCAAAAAAAAAAATTGCAGCTGACAAGACAAATTTATCTTTCCCAGAGCAGCCAATCAGCTTTCATTTCTATAAACAAGGATTCTGATTGGATGGATGCCAGGGGCAATAAGAAACCTTCTGCCGGGGCACAGTACCAGGCGGGCACCTCTCAGCAGAACCCGCATTTCTGAAAAGTTGACTTTCTGAAAAGTCAACATTTGCATTGCTCCTCCCCGAGGTATTTGAAGCAACAGTGGTGTGCGCGGCTACTCCTGCTGGTGCTACAGGACCCCCAAAATAAAAATAAATATCTTTAGTATGTGACAGGCGAATTTTAATATGGAGCATATGACGCTGGCATGAGAGATAATGAGCACAAAAAGAGCCGAACTGATAAATACTGATGGTCAGATGATCCCGAACTGCGACAGTTCATGCAACTCCAGGTGGTTGAACGCCTCCCAAGGACATATAACATTGATATCTGCAAAATAACAACAAATTATAAAGAAAAGTCATCGTGTAAAATAGCAATTAGTCATTAATGACAGGCGCCGGTTGTAATATCTAAATTGCCTTGGCTTCCTGAAATAAGCTAACTTGCTATTCTCTGCTTCCAATGATGATAACGATACAATGGTTAAAAGAAGCAATGGTCTTATTTATTTATACACAAATCTAATCAAACATAATAAAAGATACAAACAGATATAATAAGACAATCAAGAGAATACTTTACACAGCAAGTCCGTCCTCTGGTTCCTACATCCTGGCTGGGCTCAAAGAGAGAGCAATATTGCCGCGCACGGACTTTTATACCCATTCATACACATACATCGACACCCCCTTTACCCAGAATTCCGCATGTCCCTTAAATGTCTCTCGGCCAATCGGCATGGTCCTTCATATTTATCCACACGCACTGTAGTCCTCCAGCAGGGGGCACCATCGTACTGCAGATCAGTCCTTGGCCTAGGTCAACACCTTGTCCTTTGATCTTTAGACAATGGCCAGTCACCTTCATATGCAAAATCCGGATATCTTGACATGTCTTCCCAATGTGCCTACACCCTTATCAACACCACAGGGTGCAAAGCTTGATGTCTCGCCCCGATGAATGAATGTCACCTTTCTCATCTCCCCCGCCATGCCCCAGGCATGAACAACACACAGTTGGTCTCTTTGATGAGCAATGCAATCAAGATTTGAAGATATCTGTTTGGCAGCTTTCGTACATGAAAATGTTGTACACTCCAACACCGGTCCAGCAATTTCCTTGTGAAAATGCTAACTGCTTGGCTGCCATGCACACCATAAGCCCTTTCATGGCGTCCTATGCTGGGAATACTTTCGTCTACGTTCCAGTTTAGAATTTAGAGGCGTGGTATTGCAATGCACTGTGAAGCGAGGCGGCCAGGAGGTGCGTTGGGGTGCCATTTCAATGAATAGCAACGCAACACAATACGCCTAGCACGCGTTAATGCACGCTAGTTGTGCTGTGCGATGCGTCAATTGCATGGTATCGTGCGATGAACGCTATGGTGTGGATAGGCCTTAAATCTGAAAAAAATATACATACACTCAGGGCCGGATTTCCCACAAGGCCAAGCAAGGCCTGGCCTTGGGGCAGCAGGGAGTAGAGGGGGCAGCAGGAGTGTGGAATTCCTATCTCCCGATGCCCAGGACATGAGCCGGGCGGGTACTTGTTTTCTACATTTAGCCCTGCTTTGGGCAAGCAGAGCTAAATGTACAGCAGGGAAGCCGCCTATTGTTTTGTACAATTGATCTCGGCGATGTCGCTGAGATCACTTGTATGCAGCCTGCAGGTCTGCCATTCTTCATGGGGGGGGGGGGGGGGGG